TTTACATCTGGGCCTTGATCTCTGAATCTCTCCCTGATTTCCCAAGTTTGGCAGGTGTTTTTCTAGTTTACGTAAGAGAGACTAAGTAAATATTTGTGGGACTCATGAATGAATGATAAACTCCTTGAAGGCAAGGGTGTGTTCTACTCTCTGTGTTTTGTTCAGTGCCTTGTACACAAGCCCACAGAAACATTTGCTGAGCTGAAGAGCATTGCATTAGAGCAGAACATGCATGGTGGAGTCAGACAGGTCTGAGTGGGAATGCTGGTTCTATCTCTCATTGGAGACCATGGGGGCAATTGGTTAACCCTTGGGCCTCTGTTTCTTTATCTGTAAAATGAGGATATTATATAATACCAGCACTGTCCCAAAGGTTTCTTGTGATAGTTGAGAATCATCCAGTGTAGTATGTAGCACATAGTTGGGGTTCAGTTAATTTTTGCTGCTTTCCTTCTGTGAATCTGATTGAACATTCCCATTCTGGAAGCATCATCTGAAGGAGAGTTGAGCCAGGCTTTGCTATGGGTCCAGTACTAGTCCCTTCACCCATCATGCATAACATATCCACCTATTGGGTTTTCTGAGGCACACTCTCATTTTCTGTTTCTGATCTGAGTGCTGCCTAGCAGCTTGCAGCTTATTAGGTGGGCTTACTGCATTGGCTTTCAATTTTCTTCCTTGGCAATTTGCTCCTTGGCAATAAGCAGCAAAAATTAACTGAATCCCACTATGTGCTACATACTACACTGGTGGTCTCTGAAAGTCTCTGAATCGTGGGAGAGGCCAGGGGTGGACAAGCATTCTCTCACTCTTGGTTTTGTTTGCTTGGTGTGAAATGTCTTGAGTCTAAAGGTTACATGATCATCTCTTCCTAGCTCTATCAATGCCCTTTTGTGGTGGGCTGCAGGGGAAAGAAAGCTTTCAGCCCCTAATTCTCAGAGTTTGACCTTCCTCTGAGGAACACTTATGTGACCTTGCTAAGGTATCCACCTCATGTGTGTCCTACTTCCTGCTTTATTTGTAAGGTTAAATTCAATGTAAAGGAAGGGGTGCTTTGCTAGAATAGGATCTCACCATGGTGGAATGGGTGATGTCATTGCAGCATAGAGGTAGGAGGAGAATCATTATGTGATGGAGTCTTCCTCAAAGTGTGGTTCTCTTGTCTCCAGAAGCAGATTTCTGAACCTTACTTAGAATCCATTGAGTCACACTTGCTGGGGGTGGGCTAAGGAATCAGCATTTAACAGGTTCCTCTGTTAGACTCAAACTGTATTTGCTGAGACTTGACCTTGAATCATGCCCTTCTATCTGGGTCTCCATTTCCTCGTGTGCGAAACAAAGGCAATAGATTAACTTATTACCGTCTCCTGCTGAAGTCTGTGATTTACCAACAGAACACCAATATCTTTCATTGACTCAAAAATAATTATTTTGTAAGAACCTTCAATATGCTGTGCCTGTCTTTGAAGGAGGTAGAGGTGCAAAACATTATCCCCACTTAAGTTATTCAGAATCTAATTGGGAGGGCAACTCTTGTAGCATCCAGAAACTATCAAGGTAATGTTTAACTAAGTGGTAAATTATGTGACTCAGTTATAAGCAAAATGAGGCTTCAGAGGAGAAAAAATTTTGATACTGAGATAGCCCTGGGGAGCAACCTGCAGGAAGTGGGCTTTGGACTTTTTCTGAAACAACAGGCAGGCAAGTACAAGTAGTAATGGAAGGACTGGACACAAGCATAGTTACAACAATACAGTGTGAAACCAAGCAGATATATGAGAATGTGTTTGGCTTACCTGAAAGACCTTGAGAAACTTAGATTGCCTTAAATCAGAGGAAAAGTTTTTGAAATCTGGAAAAAAGGTTTGAAGAGTATGCATGGGCCAGAATGTGGAATATCTTAAATGCCACCCTAAGGAGTCTGGTTTTCATCCTTTGGCAGAGGGAGCCAGTAAAGGTTTCTGGTCGAGAAAGTGCATAAATTAAGAGATAAAATTGAAATAATCTACCATGAAGGCAGAATTAATATTTGTGGAAAGGTGCTTTAGTCTAGATTCTTCAAGAAGCAGACACAAAAATGAGATTCTTAGGAAGAAACTTATTAGGAAAGATGCCTGTGAGAGAAAATGGATCAGGGTCCAGGAGTGATTAGGAGTAACTGCTAAGCTGCGATGCAGGTCTGATCACAGTGAAAGAGATGAGGAAGGAAGGAAGAAAGGTTATCTGGGAGCATCTCAGACTATAGTAAAGTTCTCTGGAAAATTCAGCAATGCTGTTAGTGAATCTTAAAGTCATCAGAGGAGTCCCAAAGTCATCAGAGGAGTCCCATCAACCAGAAATGGATCTGCTTTGATATTCCTTTTGTACTCAGTCACTGACTAGGAGCAGCTCTTGAGAGGTATGGACTTGGCAAGAAGGTAGTGATGGATTTCAGAGCATAGCAGCCAATTATATTCCTTGCAGTTAGGGATCTGGAAGGCAACTCTCATGGCAGCTAATGAGGGAAAAGAGACTTTATTCATATTCTTTTGGATGGTTTATTTCCAGAATGCCAGAGTCTTTTCTCATGGTACTCCCTCTGTGTAGAGGCACTCACTCATCCCCCTTTAACTAGTTAGTTTCTACCCATTCATCGTAGGTATTAGTTTGGGTTTCCTTCAGGAAGCCTTTCCTAACCTTTTTACCCACTCTCAGATTTGGTACCTCAATATTTTCCTACTTTCCTCTGCATTCTCCACCACAGCACCTATCACTCTGTGTAGGGAATTGCCTGATCACTTTCTGTTGGATTCCACCCCTCCTCCCATCCCGTCAGTAGACTGTGAGTTCCTGAGATGCAAAATCTGTATCTTTTATTTCTGTATCCCCAGTGTATAGCCCAGTGGCCAGAATGGCATAGCCATTCAATAGAAGAAAGAAGAAAATTTTAAAAAAAAATGGAGGAGAGGAGGGAACAAAGGAGGGTGGCCCACACTTTGGGTAATCAGAAGGATTTTCCAAATCCAGTTGTTAGAAGCTCTACCGATTAAGTGGACTCTTACCCCCGACATCTTTTTCTTCTTTCTATGTGAATTTTAAACTTTTTGAAGACATGTCTCTGGAGGCTTCAGGTTTGGAAAAAGTGAAGTGGTCTGACTTGCTCGTGCAGAGCCCTAGGTGGTCACTCTGACTCATTGACTCATTCCTAGTAGAACATTATTTCAAGCTTTTATTTATTTTTTCCTAGAATTTGGGATGGCCTGCACATAACCTCCCATGCTTTTACATGGTGACTTTGAGAATACTTTGTAGATGGAAAAAGACCAAATGAAGGGCAGAAGTACGCTGTTGTCTGTGTTCCTCTGTGTGTACCCTGTGTATTAATTCAACAAACAAACAAATTATCTGGCATATTGCTGAGCATTTGGTTAGGGAGAGCATGGATAAGTTCCTTGTCTTTATCAGTTTCTGGCTTTAATAAATGAGGAAGCTAGCCATGGATGGGAGAGACAAGGACCTTTGAGTGACCATGAAGAACCATTCTTTTCACGGGTTACTCTTTGCCGTGGTAATAAGACAGGCAACTTGGTAGATTCTACTGTTCTGCAAATCAGCACTGATATGTGCTGTTACATTGTTGTTGTGCTATCGTAGTAGGACAGATGGCTTGGTAGAGTCTACTATGCTACAAATAGCTATGCCATTGATGATGTTTCTTGCCAGCCTATCATTCCTCATCACAGAGAAGTGGAACATTTCATGCCAACTTTAATGGGTCAGATTCCTTGCCTTTAATTTTTTTCTTAGTTTACATGGAAGCAATGGAAATGGGGCTGACTGACCCCATGGTGTGCTGGATGAGAATAAATCTCAAAGTGAGCATTTTGTTGTTAGTTAAGTGCCATAAAAATGTTCAATATAATGGCTGATTATTTTTCTTTAATCTTAAATGGATACCTAGAATGAGAAAGTCTCATCTTGGTAGCAGAAATTCATTATCTCGGGAAGAGTTTAATGGCTGCTGTGAAAATGAACCGGAGGAAGTTAAATCGTGGAATGGGAAGGAGCTGAGAAAAGTGAAATGAGTTGTGCATTAAATTTAGATAAACACAATTATGTGTAACTGGATTATCATGGGTGCAGGCAGGCAATGTATATTATGCACCTGCGTTTTGATTAAAATCGATTCAGGTGCATGTGCTTAGCATCCTTGTAGATACGGAGTTGTGCCTAAGTCACTGTCCAGATGAATGAGGGACAGACAGGCCAATGTGTAACATCCAAGTCCCCAGCTGCAGGAAGGGCATGGGAACAGACTGACCAGTCCAGAAAACCACGTTGTATTATAGACAGCTTCAGCTCACTGACATATATAGCAACTTCAACTACAGTCAAAAAGTGATCCTGGAGTCCAGTGAAATCCAAAGATCTGCTTACTCTATGGTGGGGACAGATGCCACATGGTAGATGGCAGATGGCATCAGAAGATGTTAGGGACTAGGCCTGCCTGCCACTCAGCTGTTTATGCCTGATAAGGCCCTTATTGATGAAAATACAAAATTTCTTTGAAACTCTCTTGTAGACAGAAAGAATCAGGCTCAGTTTCTTTTTTAGCTCTTTTAGGTATAATTATATAAATCAGAGTCTGGATCAAAAGCAAGCTCATCATCTGATCTCTGGGTGGCCTTGGTGGTGAACAAAGCCAGCTGGCATATGCCTGACCTTGAAGGAGGACAGATGTGGAGAAACAACTGTCAATATCCAACTAATTCCCACTGGCATGTATTATTTCAAATGCAAAGCACTGTCAGGATTAAAATAAATGCTACCAGTTACAAGGATGCATTAAATTAATAACTCTCCCCCCACCCCGCTTGATCCTATAATACCCCTCAACTCAGTGGATAAACACTAAGCCCTCCTCTGGGTGAAATAAGATACATTGCATGTTGCTTCAAAAACTAAGCTTCCTTTTTTTCCCCTTTGTTCCTCTCCTCTGCCCTCAACCCAACCCCTTACAGGTCATACTTATCCTGACGAAGCTATATGACTTCAACCTGGGGAGCGTGACTGAGAGTTCACTTTGGAGGTAAGTGGATTAGAGATTTTTAAGGAGCTACTCTGGCTCAGCTTACATGATAACTGCAAACTAAGCAGCTGGGAAGTGTGGTTTAGAAGGAGCAGAAGGTCATACTCCTCCTGGAAGCCTGCTTTAATGTCCCAGGTGGAACTGATGGTTCCCACCTGTGAATTCCCTAAGTGCTCTGCTGATCTCTTTTGGGGCCTATCACACATCAACCTTGGCAATCTTGTTGCTTCTGCATTCCTGCAGTGTTTATTCTACTTGGAGAAGGTGGGGTCTGGCTAGAGAGATCAGATGAGCATGTCTTGAACAAGTAGAGACCCTTAATAAGGAAGCCTTCTGTAAGAGGGACTCTTGGCTTGGCCCAAGGACTATCTCCAGGCCTTTGTACCTGTACTGTGGTTCTTGAGAAGCCAGTGCCTATAGAAACAAATACATGTGGGAACAGACACAGATACACATCTGCATGATGACTTTTGTGATCGCAGCACTTATGTCTTCATGGACCCCTTTCTCCATAAAATAATATTAAAAGGTCTATTTTACTATTGCATTGGTAGAAAGACAACTACATTAATATCATATATTAAAACACCCTTTTCAGTCAAAAAGTTTATTCTTTCTCTTGATTTTAAAATAAATGAAAACATTTTTGGGGCTTCTAAATGTATTATGAGTCTAGGGGCTGTATCCCCTTTGCTTATTGGGTAAGTGATGGCAACACTAGGGCACACAAGACAAGGGAGAAGAGGGATGTGAGTGAGTATATTTGGAGAGGACTTTAATAAAATCGTGGAAACGGGTGTTTCTCTGGACAGGGAATGCTCACATATGTGCCCTTATGTATACCTCCTCATATATGTATGCACACACATACACTGCACTGACATGAAGTCACACTGGGCAGCAGTAAGTTTCATCAGCCACTGTGGTTTGGTGCTTCAGGCTCTGCATTGCTGTCCATGAGACTCGAGAGGTTGTGCATTTTATTACATTTACTTTGCCCTATGTCAATACTAGGGAGGAAGCTGTTATAAAAAGTCATTCATCTGGTTGCATCATCATCCCAGATCCCTGTCCTGAGGGTCTCCTGAGGTCTTGGAGCAGAAGAGTTTGGGGTGTAAGATCCTTCTTCATCTGACCTGTTTGGTTGCAGAAAACTAGCCAGAGCTGCTCTCTAGGGAAGAGGGAACAGTAACAACATCTATTAACTATTTAGGGGTAATTGCTCATATCGATTGAGGAATGCCTCCATTTGCACAGGATGTCTAAAACCTAATTTTGCTGCTCAGTGAAAATTGGCAGAGGTATAAGTAACTAGGGTGCCTCTAACAGATGAAAGCATGATGATTTCCATTCATGCCATACTTCCCAGGGAATTAGAGCCTCAGAAACCTTTCTTCAACAGTGTTGCTGTATGATACTTTAATCCCCACTCCCATGCTGTCTGCTTGTAAAATCTTGAAACAAGCCAGAAAATCCTGTCCTTACATTTGAAAACAGCTATCCCTGGCATACCATGTCTCAGAAAAGGTTTGGCTTTTTCTAGGAGTAGGCCAGGGAATCCCAGGAACATAGGCTCGTTGCTTAATGCTAGAGCCTCTTAAGTTATTAAGCATGTGCCCCTCAATTTTGCAAGAGCCAGTATATTTACCAACATGTGCCAAGGGACAGTATATTCAGCTTGGCATCTCTTAAGGGAACCCTGATGCTCAATTGCTAGGATTCAAGTCCCAGTTTGCCTACCAGTGAACTCTGTGATTTTGAGCACTTTTTCTAACCTCACTGTATTAGTTTTCAAGGGCTGCCACAATAATTACTACACACTGGGAGGCTTCACACAGCAGAAATATATTCTCATAGTTCTGGATTCCAGAAGTCTGAAACCAAGGTGTTCTCAGGCTGTGCTCCTTCTGAAGGTTTTAGGGTTCACCTGGTTAAACCAGGATGACCTCATTTTGAGATCCTTAACTTAATGGCATCTACAAATACTGTTTTGTTTTGTTTTTTTTTCAGATAAGGTCCCATTACAGATTCTGGGGGATAGGAGGTGGATATACCTTTTAGAGGGATTCACCATTCAGCCAACTTCACTTAGTCTCAGTTTCCCTAAATAAAAATTGGGGATAGCACAGAACATACCTTTAATCTAGTCACATTTTCCCTTGATATTCCTCAAACACCAGTCACATTTTTCCCTGGAGCCTATACACTCAGCTCTTCCCTCTGCCTAGTGCTACTAGGGATTGGGGCAAATGCTTCACTTCCTTCCCCTCTCTGCTCCGCCTTACTGAATCAGTGAGGCCTTTCCCCAGGATTTTACATTCTTTCGCTTGGCTACATTTTCCTTCTTAGTCCTGGCTTGCTCAGTATTTACTTATTGATTTATCTATTGTCTCCCCAAACCCACTAACATCCAAGCTTGTAGAGAGAGGAAATACTCCATTTTAATTCAATGTTGTATTCTCACACCAGAGGTGCTTTATAAATGTTTACTCAGTGAACAAATTAATGAATGGATTGTTGTAAGGAATAAATGCCATAAATGTAAAAAGGCACTTATGCCAGTAACTCACATGTAGGGAGCGCTTACTTAATTGCAACTGCTAATGGTTATTATAACCTCTTGTGTTTGTACAGAGTTTTCATTCTGTTATTGAATTGGCTTTTAAGGATCTCTTGATGCAGAGGTTCATGTAAGGGAAATTGTGGGACACCAAGGGCATGTATTTTCTGTTCTCTAGGCGTTAGCAGAGGTCTTCAGAGATGAAAGAAGGAAGTTAAAGAGAGGAGAAGAATGGTTTAAGAATGGTTGTCCCTTGTGCTATTTGGGGGAAATTGGAATATTAATTTTTCCCTAGTTGAAGACTTACTTTTATAGAATAGAACCTCTGAGCTAGGTGTTGGAATGATGGAATGGATATGGTTTGGCAAGTGACCAGTAAAAAAAATGTCCCTACCACAGGGCAAATTCCACGTGAGATTTATCTGCAGGAGAGAATGGGACCAAGTAGGAACAGAGAAGTTGAGGGCTGGGCCAGATAGGATAGGATGTTGAGATAGTGAGGAAACTCACAAAGTTCACAGAAGGGGCCCTACCAAAGACGTAGATTCTGGATAACAGATTCTATGTGGTGTGACTTTTGGGGATTTGGAAAGATGGTGGATAAAATGGACTTTCCCTCTGGATCAATGTCACATATGAATATATATTTGTGTTAGGTTCCAGGAGCTTCATGGATCTGGGAAAGCTTAGGAATCCCTGGATAGAGTGTGACTGAGGAAAGCCACTGCTCTTGAACTTTGTGGGGATTTTCCAGCTTGCTGGAGCCTCACAGGGAGTCTTATAACTTTTCACTCTCTTCCCCTAAGATCTGTATCTCCTACCCTCTTTTCCTGTACTGATATTGATATATTTTTACAGTTGGAGCCTAGAGCAGTATGATTTTCCCCCAATACTGTGTGCAGAGTAAAGAAGCTAAATTAAACATGCACTCTTTCAGTTTCATGATTGGGCCTAACATGCTTAACCAAGTTGAAACTGAATTTGCTGATTCTTCTTCAATATTCTGTACACCCGAGAAGCCTGGAGCAGCAGCTGTCATGACAAGATGACACCCCCTGCCACGTTACAGTGTGATATAATTATGTGTCTCACTGGAGTAATAATTCAGAGACCATCTACTTCTAAATAGACAAAAAACTTTTTAAAAACATTAAATTGTGGAGCAGTAGCTTGTGCTCTTGTGACAGTTTTTGTGGAACTGCTTGATGTTGTTATACTTGTGGTAGCCAAGTCCTTTCTCCACCAACACCAGGAAGGCTATGTAAATTTATCATTTAGTGCAGCCATCTGTTGGCATCCCTTACTCAAAGAACACTTCACATATAGGATTTCAAGTTTAGAGAATTAATGAGGTTGAGGACTGACTTTTCTAAAGGAACCTAGGAGTACTCGCTGGCTCTTGATCTGAGACATTCCATACTGTTATACATCTGTTCTCTAAAATGGACACTGCATATAGATAGATATAATCCTCCTATTTATGTCTTCTCTACTCTCACCAAAAATAGGTCACTGTCATATGGTATGCAGGTGTTACAGAGTCAAAGGGAGGACCATACCTTGCTCATTTCCATGAGAACTGCCTGTGGTACACACTTTGGTGATGTCTTTATGCCCTTCATGCACAGATGCGTGCGTATCTCTGACTCATTTGGTGGCATTCGTGGTCCTCAGTTGGGGGGATGAACATCACTTTTCTCTGGAAGTAGAAACTCTGATAATGCCAATTAATCTACTATTTGAGGTTGTTAAGACTTTGTTTTTGAATATAAGTCATGGTTAGGATTTATGCTTCTGACTGGCACATCACTTCTTGGATTCAGTTCTATATGTCTTAGCTATTAACATCTGGACTAACAAACAAACATTTTTTAAAAGTTTAACGTACTCCTTTATGGAGAGTGATGAGGTAGCAAGCAATTTTCCAGCTTACATCTGTGCATTCCAAGCACTACTCTCCAGAAAAGGTCCCTGTCTGATCAGCTTCAGATGGCAGAGGAACTGCAGGTGTGAGGTCTCCACAGGTGTGAGGTCTCCACAGGTGTGAGGTCTCCACAGGTATGCAGTCTCCACAGGAACTTTTCCCTGGCTGCTGGATTAGGGTCCTCACAGAGCTGAATGAATTGGCAACTGTCTAGGCATAGAAGGAAATAGGAATCCTTTGCAAGAAATGGTCCCCTTCAATTAGAGCACTTCAGGTCTTCACCTCTCTCCTCTCTTGCTTTATTTTATCCACCCCAGCAGTATGGGAGACATTCTGCTCTTAGAAAAGCAGCCAGCCTGCACAGCCGTTCCTTCCATAAGGCTGTCTTCAGGGCCTACAGAGAAAAGGGGCTTCAGATGGATGGGATTCCTGATCAAGGTGTTTATGGAGTGTACTGATTCTCAGGGACATCCTGCTGGAGATCTTTCCTGACCCACCTCTTTGGGTGGGAGGCCC